TCTCTCCTCTCTGTGTCTCCTCTATCTTGTCTGTCTCTGTCTCTCCTCTTCCCGGGCGTCAGTTCGTAGTAGCAGTGTCTATTTCCGAAAAGCTTAAAAATTTTAAAGCGGTATGGGAATTCAGACTATTGAGGGGTAGTTTATTGTTGTGTGCAGGCCGAGTTTAGCTCAATTGACGGGACCTTTCCACTCTTGTGACTGTGTGCAGGCCGAGTTTTAGCTCAGTTGAGGGGGCCATTACAAATCACGAGCTCACATTACCCCTCTAGGAACCTTGAAAGACACCTGAAAGCCCAGAAAGCCCAATACCCCCTGGATTGAAACATATACCTTAACTTATAGCGGGCGGGGGGCTTAATATTATGGTTTCAGGTATATTCATTAAATTAAGGGGCCCTAAACCCTAAACCCTAAACCCTAAACCCTAAACCCTAAACCCTAAGCCCCAAGCCCCAAACCCTAAACTAAACCCTAAACCCTAAACCCTAAACCCTAAACCCTACTAGACCCTTAAAGGGTCTTCGGCCCTCTGGAAAAGGAGCCCTCGGCCCCTCTCGGGCCTCTATCTGCGTCCAGTCCAACGGCCGTGCAAAGCGCTGCAGGGGGGGGGACAAATGCGGCTTCGGAGTAGAATGGGGTTTAGGGTTTGGGGTTTGAGGTTTTAGGGCTTAGGGCTTAGGGTTTAGGGTTTAGGGTTTGGGTTTAGGGTTTAGGGTTTGAGGGTTTAGGGTTTCGGGTTTAGGGTGTGAGGGGCTATTAACCCAGAGGGTCCATAAAAACTACTTCTATGGATTCAGGCCGCCAAAACAATAATAAGGATGGTCTTTCGGTGCCTAACTCCACAGTGGCAGTGCATATGGACCCTCTGGGTAAGGGGTTACTCAAAGGATGACTACAAGTCTTTGGGTTCTAGGGTTTGGGACTTCGTCGTTAAGTGTTGAGTGCTGACGGCTTGCTGGTTTCAGGGTCTAGGGCTTCAGGGTTCAGGCAAGGAGCCCACAAAAATTATTGGCAATTTTTTAAGCCCCCTACATTAGTTCTGAGTGGAGTTGTCAGTCCCCTAATATGGTTATACCTATTATAGCCCCCACTTATAACTACCCAGGTCATGGGACCCAGTAGCTACCTAGGCAGATAAATACGGCAACTATACTTGCAACTTATAAAACCTCCAAAAACCCTAAACCCTAAACCCTCCAAGCTGCAAGACTTTGCTTAAAAGCACAGCGCTTGGGGTTCTAAGGATCGACTCGACGGGCAGACCAGACATTAGAAACTCCAAAATCCCCCCTAATTAAGGACTATCTCGGAAAATTATAGCAGGGGATCCTACTATAAGTTAGGGGATTTTCATCGGGTAGTCCTTACTGAAAGGCTCTGGGAAATTTGCTCAAGTGTTTCATTGTCGCAAGGCTGTGAAGTTTAGGATTTCGGGTGTGAGGTCTTTTGCACCGTTTCGGGAGCTCTTTGTATGGCAGGGTACGAAGGAACCAACAATGTGTACGGGGTTTAGGTTTTCATGCTTAGGGTATAAGGGGGCAGTGCATATCTTGGTCGGTATGATGCCCTACATCCTGCACTCCCAAACGCACAGCTGCTGGCTTCTGGCAAGATGCTCCTTTCTGGTCGGATACCACAACCCAAACCCGATCTACAGACCTTAGCTCTACACCTGGACCATCCTAAACCGCTCAAGCCTAAAGCCCTGAACCCTGAGGCCGTGAGTGCAGATCAATTCGAGCTGATGAAGTGGCATGCTGTAGTAAGTCAGTATAGCGACCCCAAGCAGTAGAATAGGGCTTCGGGATATCCGTTACGAGAAAAATTCCAACCACTCCCTAAACCTTCGGGTTTAGGTTCAGTATATCTCTATTTTGACGGTTTGGGCTTTCTGGTCTAGGGTTTTGGCTTTGGGCTACATTCTGACGTTCAAGCTTCAGTTGGCCTTATGATGGGGGTTTCCGAAAATAGGGGACTCTGATACAGTACCCTATCCTTATTAGTTTCCGAAAATAGGGGACCTTAATATAGTACCCTAGATAGTAGGATCCTTATTCTAAGGACCCCAAAAGAAGGTATCCCTTGTTTTCGGAAACAGGGGACCCTAATATAGTACCCTATATCCTTACCCCAAAAATAGGGCACCCTTTGTTTTCGGACACCCCCTTATAGGTCTCGGATCTGGTGCATGCTTCGGCGCTTCTGAGCAAAATCATGGAGACGGTAGCACAAGGCGTCTTAGGCTTTGGTACTGAGGGTTTAGGACGGTTTAGGGTTTAGGGTTGAGGGTTTTTAGGATTTAGGGTTTAAGGTTGGTTCCGCATCTAGGATTCAGGCGGTTGAGGTTTCGATAAGTATAACAGTCTTCCACACGCAGGCGGTGCACTCGGAAGCGTGCGTCTCAAATAGTGTCGCTTGTGCCCAAAAATCTTGTCCCCAAAACCTAGCCTTAAACCCTAGACCCTAAATCCTGATCCTAAATCCCTTCAACCCCTAAACCCTACACACCAAAAAATGCCTCACGCAGAACCCCGGCGCCTTGAGGGTTGGCATACCCATCCGAAACTCTGGCTTGTCGGTCCTTGGCCGGTGTGCCTTTCTCGGGTTCAGGATTTACTCTAAACCCTAGGCCCTAGGATCCATGGTGGACTCCAATGGTGGACCATGGAAAGGACACAAAACCTGCCTCCTTCCTGGCCACCCGACTTCGGGAATGGATTGAACACTTCGTGACCAGTAGGAGGCGGTGGCTGTGAAAGTAGGTGATTGGTTTTGAAAGTGTGCTTTGAATTAGTGCCCGGACGTGTTGTGTTGGCTCAGAAGGTGTGTAAAAAGATGAAATCAAAGTTGATGATTGAATGGAAGAACTCCACTAGCTTTGTCTTCTTTAGAGGCAGGACATTTGCTAGTTGCTGCTTGGCCGCAATGTGAGCTGCGTAGCAAAGCAGTGTTTGGCTGCCAGACGAGTGGACAACTTCAGACGAGTGGGGCCGTTCTTCGTTCGTGATGAGCGCAAGCCTCTAGTTCCAGTTGTGGTAGATTTCGTGGCACCGTTTCCACGCGTGCATGCCGTTGCCGTAAGACTTCCCTTTAAGGTCGCCGAACTGCTGGTTGACCCGTGGCGCGATGAAATTTCCGCCCGAGCCATCTTGCTCTCCGTGGCCTGGCTCGCTAGCGGGCGGCGCATTCATGTCGTCCAAATTGCAAGCGACATTTTCGTCGATGGCCCTAAACCTGTAAAAACATAAATAAGCCCTAGCGCCTTTCAACCCCTAAACCTTTCAAACCACCTAAACCCCTAAACCTGTAAACCCGAACAGCCCCTGGAGCTCCCTTACACCCCTAAACCTAAACCACTTAAGCCCTTAAACCTGCAACAACCCTGAACCCCTAAACGTTGACAACCCTTAAAACATCCTGTAAAAAAGCTCAAACATCTCTAAGCAAAAACACAAAAAACCCTTTAGAGACCTTACAAAGAAGGAAACACCTTCCTAAACCCTAAACCCTAAACCCTAGACCCTAAACCCTAAACCCTAAACCCTAAACCCTAAACACTAAACCCTAAACCGAGGCGCTGCCGCACAAAGCGGAGGTGGGCCTCTTCAATGTCCAGGAGCTCCTTGGGCACAGAGCCGGTTCTAGGGTTTAGGGAGTCGGGTTTAGGGTTCAGGGTTTAGGGCTTCGGGTTTAGGAATAAGGTTTGAGGGATTCGGGTTTAGGAATAAGGGTTTAGGGAGTCGGGTTTAGGGTTTAGGGTTAAGGGTTTCGGGCTTAGGGTTCAGGCTTGAGGGTTTCGGGTTTTAGAAAACTGCCCTAAAGCAGCTCTGTCGGGGCTGGCCACCACGGCTTATGCTTAGCACACCATTGCTGAGCGCGCGGTGACATGAATCTTTTTCCCTTAGCACCTGCAGTCAAAAGCTGTTATAGATCTCTGAGTGCACTGAATGTACATGTGGTGTGCCTCTGTTGCGATCTAAGCAACTGCTGTGCATGTTGACCCAAGAGCCTGATTTCGCAGCCGCTCTGAACCAACAACGACGATCGGAGGCTGGTGTCTTTCTGCACTCCTCCTCTGGCCCTCCGATAGGACCGGCCTGTCAGAACTGCTTCCATGCAGCTATTAACGCAGACACCCTCGAGCGATCGTTGATCTCATGGTAGCGGAGCATGTGCCTGCCACTCAGATCTTTTGTCCTCCACAACCAAAGCACGTACTTGAGCTGCTTAAGAGTAGGACCTGTAGATTGCTGCATCATCTCATAGAGTCGTCCACCTAGACGTCGAGCTCTGTCCTCCTTCAAACCGGAAAGAGGTAGACCTTCGGATAGAAGACCTTCACGTAGATTTTCACAGGTCATCAGCATGCTCACGTCATGGCATACTCGTAGGTTCTCAGCCTCATTAGCCTGAGTCATAGCACCCTCTGGTGACCACATTGGTGGGGAATCTGGTGCCAGCCACGCTCGAGTCGGTGGACTCGGAGTCCGAATAACTGATCTCCTTATTGGGGTAGAAGATCGCTGAATATGTAGTTGATCCCCTTGATCTTCACCTGCCCGACGAGATATCCGTACTGGTCCTTGTTCATTTCCTTGGCTACCTGATCCACCTTGTCGACTTGATCTGCTTTGTCTGATCCCACCATTCTCACCCTCTTGCTGTCGTCCTAAACCACTTGTAGAGGAAGAAGATCTCGCTGTAGATTGATCTCCTTGTCGCCCGGCAGATGTCTCCCTGATCACGCTGCCAGTTTCTTGGATCCTCTCCAGCTCACGCTCGATAGCCGCAGTCGTCGCTGCTTGTAGCTTCTGTAGCTTCCGAAGACGCCGTGCTCCAGCTCCTGGAATCCACTCATTGCATATCTCTGCCATAGACCACTTCGCAACCTCGTAGATCAGCAGCACTCCAAGAATCATTAGTAGGATCATCAGAAGGCTCGCTAAGTCCCCATCAACCTGTAAACCAGATCCCTGTACCCGCTGCTCTATGCCCACTGCCTGTACCGATACCATTAATAGGCAGCAGATTGCGGCCAATAGCGACTTTGCTGAAACCTTCATAGCTGTTGACGGATGTCGTACTGCAGCACGTCGTTCTCCAACACCCCACCATTGTAGCAAGGCTTCTAGTCGGGCAGAGCTGAGAGCCTTAGTCAACAGGTCTGCTGGTTGCTTCTCACCAGGCCAGTGGATCACTTTAAAGAAGCCACCATCTATCTGTTCTTGCAACCACCCTGCCTTTATACGAAGGTGACGTGTTCTCCAGCTACTTGAGCCTGTAGTTATACTCAACGCCGATGTCGAGTCTGTAGCAATTGTACGTTCATGTACCTTCTCGCCAATGTCCGCAAGGATTGCCTCCGTGCTCTTTGCCGCCACCGCTCCTTCTAGCAACGCCAGAAGCTCCGCTTCCGCGGTGCTCAATGTAATCATACTTTGTCGCCCACTTCTCCACGATATTGGAACACCCCCGAACATCACAACCCAGCCGCCATGGGATCGAGATCCCTGTGGCGCAAACGACGCGTCGGAGTACATGAGAAGGCCCACATCTTGCCAGCACACCACTAGCCCACGGCCATTTGTACGCTGCAAATATCCCAGAACCTTCCTTCCAATGTCCAATGTTTGTGTAGGGCATCGTGTGCAAAGTGTAGCCATAATGCATGTTGCAAACGACAGATCTGGCCTTGTACGCTGCGCCACCCATAGGACTTCTCCAGTAATCTGCTGCGCAGCCCGGATAAGGTCCGGGTTGCTGGGCTCTGGTACTTCAGGAACAAATGATAATTCCTTTGTGATAGGAATCTTGTCAAGGTGTGTGGGCTTCAGGTCATGGGTTCGCATAAGCTCTTGAAGGTACCCTTGTTGAAATACCAGAATCTCCTTGGCATCCTCGGACTCCCTCTGTAGCTCCATCCCTAGGAACCTTATCGAGTTGTCTGGACCCAGAAAGGTCAATTCCGAAGTCTCCCACACCTGCTGGACTGCACTCCCCAACTCCTTGACAACCTCCTTGGGCCCACAAATCATAAAGTCGTCGACGTACACCACGACCAGAGCTGTAACCACGCCCTTTGCATCCAAAATGGACCACCAAGACGTAATGGCTTTCCCTTGCTTCCACACCAGTCCACGCGGGGTCTTGATCGTCCGTAGGGTATCATCACGGAAATTTCCCCACAGCAACGGAGCCTCTCGTAGGCCGTAGAGAGCCCGCAGAAGTCCCCATAACTCCAGCTTCACTGAAACGCCAAGAGCTTCTAGAAGTCGTGGTGGTTGTGCAACTACCACTGGATCTGACGATGATCTTCCCAGTGGCGTCTTTACAAACGCTGCTACCACATCCAAGATCGCAATGTGCCATTGATTTCTGCTGGACACCGCGAGACCTGCTCGTACTGCTTCGGCTGGTGCTGTTTCGGCATAGACCTGAGTTCCATCATTCACTGCGAAGTT